CTGGTTCTGTCGGGACCCGCTTCCCCCGTGCGAAGCTTGGGTCGGGGTTGTCCCTCCAGAGAACGAGTAGTCCGTCACCCTTCGCCCCGCCGCCGTGGTCACAGGCCACGGCGACGACAGCGACGCTGCCAAAGGTGGCAGTGACGATTGCGATGGGTCCGCAGACGACGACGATGACGACGGCGACGAGGACAAGTGCGAGGCATCCGCGGCATGGGACCTCCGCCAGCTCCTGGAGACCCGCGACGACGACAGCGACGACGACAAGCCGTTGACGTTGACATTGGCGGCAACGACGACGACGACGACAATGACAGCGGCGACGACGTTGACAACGGCGGCGACGGCGGCGGCGACGGCGGCGGCGGCGGCGACAGCGGCGGCGGCGGCGACAGCGGCGGCGGCGGCGACGTTGACGATGTTGGCTACTGCGACGACGGCGGCGACAGCGCTGACGACGGCGCCGAGGTCGGCGTCGCAGAAGTCGTTGACGGCAACGACCGCGGCGCTGACGGCGGTAGCGGGGACGACGATGAAAGCGCCCCCCATCGGAGCGGAGGTGCCACTGCGTCGTTGGCCAGGCCCTGAAGGCCCCGCCTCTACCCGCTCCTGGTGTGCCATCTTACAGTCAACCCGCATAGCAATGATGAGCAACTTCCCAAGGTTACAGTCCAGACGCTGAAGTAAGGAACAGTTTGGGTTCGGCAGGGGCTCGATGTGCCCCAGGTTCCTCCATTGCTGTCCCTTTCGCCCTCCTCTCGGGCACGGAAGCCCTTTGGGGGCAGACAAAGGGGCTGCGTTCCTCATTCAGCGTTCCTTCTTTCAGCGGCCCGACTGTACCCTTGCATCGTTCCCCTTCGACCCATCCTTGGCCGCGTTCGCTGTCCGCGCCCTGGTCGCAGAGCGTCGACATGGCCTTCCGAGGCCCTCGCATCTTCATCGCGCGTCTTCCTTCTGCGGGCTCACTGCAATACTGTGGAAGTCGATTCATGGAGCGGAAGCAGGCTGCCAAATGATCTCCAGATGTCTACAAGATGGCCCAAACATGTTTTGCAGATGTAAAGCATGTTTGAAACATGTTTAGAACATGTTTTGACACATGTTCAACACATCTTTATTGTTGGGGCCCTGAAGAAGGAAACCTTTTCGTTGGGGAGGGGCTCCGTGTTCCTTGATTGCTTCACAGTTTGCCTTGGGTTGTCCTTTGGTTTTCGATGGGAAATCGAAGTTCAACTTGTGGATGAAAGGGGCCTCGTTCCTTATTTAGGGTTCCTTGGGTCAACGCTCCGACTGTACTTCGATGACAGGAGTGTTCGAGTGTCCATTGCCGTGGCAGCCACAGCTGCAACGCTGCAAATCACGATGCTGTAGTCAGGGCTGGACCGAAACGGTGTTTTTTGGCGATCTCGTGGGCCGTTTCCGTTTCGATTTCGCTCTGCGGTAGAGGCGATTCGAAGACAAGACGAGGGACAACGGAGCCAAAACGAAAACGAAAAACACCGTTTAGGTTCAGCCTTGGTTGTAGGTGTTTGAGCATCTGATCTTCTTGCTCCTGGTGCATTCCGGATCTCAGCCACTGCTCTGGCGGCGGCGCGTTGTGGACTCCAGGTCCCGATGCGACACTCCCGCGCGCGCACCGTGTAGCGCGAGAGCACGGCTGCAACACATCAAGATTGCGATGGTGAAGCAACACGTGATGAAGAACATGTGTCGTTTCATTCCCATTCATCTCCATTTCCTGCTCCCTCTTGCGTTACTCCTCGATCCCTCGTCGTTTCCCTCGTCGTTTCTCTCTGTCCTCTTTCACCCTTGCCGCATCCCTCATCTTCTTCATTCTCTTCCCTCTGTCTCTCCTCTCCCCTCTTCCTTATTATCTCCTCACTCCTGCTTCCGCCCAGTTGTTCTTCCGTCCTCTGGTCTGTCCATCCGGATTGTCATGATATGTTGCTCTTTTGTTCTCTTCTATCTTCTCCTCCCTCCTCAAACCTTCTCTTCCTCTTCTATCTTTTCCTCCCTTCTCAAACCTTCTCTTTCTCCTCCCTTCTCTTTCCTCCTTCCTCCTTCCTGCTGGACCCGCAGATGGTCTCTCAGCCAGAGTTAGACTTATGTTGCCCACGCTCGTGCCCATCACCGCGGCCCCATGCCTCGCTGGTGCTGACATCGAGCCAGCCAGGTTTGTTGCAGCTCAGGTGCTCCTCCTCCTCCTCCTCCTCCTCCTCCTCCTTCTAATTTGGTGCAGGGAGCTCTCGCGGGCGCGCGTTCTTCGCTGCTGCTCCGAGTGTCTCTGGCCGTGGAAAAATGTTGCAGCTCAGGTCTCGTAAGGTGCGCGATCTGATTATGTGGCTGCTTCCGTTCATCAGAAAGATAGTGTCAGTATCAACGCATACACCAGCAACGTATTGCATCGACTTGCCCTGTTTGTCGGTCGACTCAGCGCGGCGGGCAGCCACCTGGTTGGTGGGTCGAGATTTCCATATGGAGTCAGAAGCGCGTGAAGACCAACGGTGGCTTTACCAGGTGCAGGCTATGCTTGCCACCTCCTCCACGGTGACCTGTAGAACGATCAACACAGCCGAGGGGCATGTCTAGTATTATTTTCCTGCGCACTCTACTCTTGCTGCGAGGCTAGGCTCTCTGGGGGCAATGTCCGCGTACGGCCTTCTTACCAATGCGCTTGTAGCGATGACGTGTCAAGGCAAGCATGATAATGTAGTACTATAGGACGCTGTGGAGCCTCGAGCCTTACGTGCAGGACCGAATGTTGGTTGCTCTGGGTGCCCCATGTGCTGGGACGAGAGCGTGCTGGCTATTGGTGCGGCACACGATGATGCGACAGCACAGCACGCATGGGATCTCAGTGGAGTTCTGCAGGAGCTTGCTAACCGCTACGACAAGGTACGTGATGAGGCGGCCCCTTTTCAGCGCAGAGGAGGCCCAGTGCAGGTTGGGTGGTAGCCGCGACAACCCGAAGGCTCAGATTTACCCTGGGGGGGGTCCAGGAACATCGAAAAAGCACATATGGAACCCATACCCCCCCCCCCAACCCCCCCCCCCAACCCGAAATTCGGGTCTTCGGGTTGGGTTGGGGTGGTCCGGTAGGCAGTCAGTTACGTGTTTGTGAATTTTCGGGGTAAGCTGGTCCAGGAGATGACGGCCACACGTGTAGCTGGCTTGCTCCATTTTTTCTTCACTATATGACGCCATGCATTGCTTACGCACAGATGAATATTTCCGAGGCTGCACGTCATAGTGACGGCGACGCTGAGGATTAGGCGTTGGTGGCAAGATCGACGGAGAGTCAACGCTCACCAGGCCATCGGGATGATGGAGCTTCTGCGGACGGGGCGCCTTGATTGCTGCCCTTTACCCTCAGGCGACGAAATCTATACATTTCCACTGCCCCCTGGCCTTGCCTTTCCTGGGCTATACGCCCTCCTGGCTTGGCCAGGAGGGCGTGGCGTATACACCGCTGCTGAGGTCAGGATGGGCCTGTCCATTGAGCAGTGGATCATTATAGATTTATTCGCCCCATAGTTACCCTGGGCCTAATTCTAGGCCTCCTTGATGGGGTCGGGGTTTAGGCGGTCGGAGGATCGCGCCGCATCGCCGATGCATCGGCGATGCGGCTCGATGTGGAGCCCGATTTGTTTCATGTCGACGTCGCCGATGCATCGCCCACGTCGCCGATGCATCGCCGATGCATCGGCGATACATCGGCGATGCGGTACAATCCTCCGACCCCATCTACTCGGACCTCATTTAGGAGACCTCCACTAATCCACGCCGGCCCGAGTGAGGAGCCCTTCCCTCGCAGTGCCTGGTCGGATGACCGGCCATCACCCGCGCCAGGGGAGCGGGCGCTGCGAGGGCCGCGGGAGGGGAATCCGAGTGGGGTCTGCTGGAACCCAAGACCTGCGGGCCTCCCTTCCAGTGCGTGGCCTGAGTGCCAGGAGAGCGCCATCGCCAGCGGGGGGGCCCACCACTGGCGGTGGGGCCGGTCTTCGTCGAGAGGGCGGGGGGCGCCTGTCGCTGCTCAGGCTGCGCCTCGGGGCAGCTGCCATGGCGTGGACAGGGGGCCGAGGTGCATGCGGTCGAGGCCGCGGCGGTGGAGCTCGCCGCAGCAGTCCATGTCGCTGATGGTGCCCAGCATGAGGGGATTCGTAGTGCGTGTGGAGGTGAACGAGTGGATCATGCCCATGGTGGTCGCAATCTGAGCCGAGCGACGGTGACCGCTAGTACCGAGGCTTCTTTGAAGCGAGGGCAGACCACCCCGACCCCCATAATCGGCGTTGGCCGAACAGCCCTGGGCGTTTACTAAACAGCCCTGCCCTGTTCGATTCCTTCCTTGGGTGCGTTTACTAAACGCCTTTCCTGTCGAGGTACATATTACGATTGAGGTTGTTCTGCTTTCTATCTCTGACGACCCCACAGAGGTCACTGGCTCGGAGTCCCGCGACGTCGTGAACAGCCGCGAGTCCATGTTGTGCTGATGATGCTGGGCCCGACAACACCCTGGCAGCCAAGACGGGAGACCGTAGGCTAAGCACGAGGAGGGGGGAGGGCGACGGGGAGGGGGAGGAGGAAGAGCAGGACGACGGCGATGGCGGACGACGATGACGACGACGACGACGACGATGACGGCGACGGCGACGTCGACGACGACGACAAAGAATGATGACCGACATGAGCGACGGCGACGGTGACGGTGACGGCGACGGCGGCAGCGACGGCGACAGCAACGGCAACGACGGCGATGGCAGCGACGGCGACGGCCGCGCGCGAATTGAGGCGCTGCAGCACCTCCACCAGCAGTCGCACGCCCACGGGCACCTGTCCCCGGAGATCCCCCTGGCCGCCACCCTCGGGGCTCAAGAGACGGGGGTCAAGGCAAACGGGGGTCAGCCAGGGCACCAGATCCTGCAGGATCCTGCGAAGACCCCCTCTGGCTGACCCGGGTTAGCGAGCCGCTCGAGGCCGCGAGGCGGCCGCGCATACTGGCTGACCCGGGTTTGCGACGACCTGAGTTGCAGTTCTTTTCTTTTTTTTGTTCTCCTGCGTTGCAGTCTTTCTTGTGGTCTCCTGCTGACCCGGGTCTGGCTCGACCCGGGCCAGGAGATCCCCGCCGCCCAATCGACGTGCTCCGCCGCCACCGCCGTCGTCGTCGCGGTCCTCCGTCGCCGTCGCTCACCACCCACCAAACGACCCTAACCCAACCCGAAGGCTTCAATTTGCCCTCCGTTTCCAGTGGGGGGGGTCGAGGAACATTGAAAAAACACATGGAACCCGTACCCCCCCCCGACCCGAAAGTCGGGTCAAATTCGGGCCTTCGGGTTGGGTTGGGGTGGTCTGGTAGGTGGCCAGTCGCCATGGCAGGGGCCCGCCGCCGCCGCCGTCCTGCCTGCCGCCGTCGTGGGGGGATCGCTGGGGAGGCGGGGCGGAGGAGGAGGAGGAGGAGGAGGAGGAGGAGGAGGAGGAGGAGGAGGAGGAGGAGGAGGAGGGGGGCAAAGGGCGGCGGGGCCCGCCTATCCTTCGAGAGGGCCGGGGGGGGGTCTTGCAATTGACGCCCTTCGGCCTCGTCGCCGCCCTCCTGCGTGAGGTTTATGTCGGGCGTGTCCTCCCCTTGGCGGCGCGCAAAAGGGGGAAGGGGCAGGGGGGAAGGCTTCTTAAGAGGCTACTTCTTGGAAGGCGCCCGCCTTGCATCTATAGAGAAGGCCCGCGCCTTCTAAGAAGCAGGGGTGCTTCCAAGAAGGCTTCCCTCCTCCCCCTAGCATTATGTCGGGCGTGTCCCCCTACAGGGGGATTTTCGAGGAAAAGTAAGAAGTACCCCAAAACGACCCCTAAAAGTCAAAACATTCTGAAAAAATTGTCCCCAGACTATATTTGGATTATGTTCTGGCAATTTTCAATGTATTTTTTTTAGTTTTCGTCGAAAATCCCCCTGTAGGGGGACAGGCCCGACTTAACGTTAGGTTTGGCATATTCTCCCACGGGCGGATTTTGAAAAGAAGACGAACACATAGCCGAACAAACGATCAAACACTGCCAAACATCGTCAGAAGAGCACGAGACCTCGCCGCCATGCTATTGCCTATTGAACATTGCCCCTGTAGAGGGACACAACCGACTCGACGCCGGCGCTCGGGTTGACCCAAAAAGGGGTCCAGCGAAAAGGGGGTGGTGCAATAGATTTGATGCAATATCTCAATGGGGTTGTAATACATCTGGGGCGTGCAATGCATTTTGGGGCGCAAGTGTATCGGTGTACTTCCGCGTGCAATATACATCACTTGCAATGCAGTGCAACACACTTCTCCGGCACAAGACACTTGCAATACACTTGCCACGAATCTATTACATCTCCTTTCAGCTTGACCTCCTTTTGGGTCACCCTAAATCGGGCCGGACGAAAAGGGGTTGATCGTGAAAGGGGGTGTTACGAAATCTGCTGCATGCAGCTGGTTTCGGCTCTACCAAGGGGCCCATTCCTCGATACATGGGCGCCTCCGGCGCCGGGAGGCGCCGGGAAAAACAGCTACGTGAGCTGATTCTCAAACCCCCCCTTTGCAATCCCCCCCTTTCGCCCGACCCAACAAAAGCGCGTGCTCGACGAGGGCCAGCGAGGACTGGGCTCCCCTGGCGGTGCCCGGCAGCCGCGCGCGCCCCCAGCCTCTCGCCGCCGCCGCGGCCCCTCGCCGCGCCCCTCGGCCCCCGCGCGCACCCTCGGCGAGGGGGGCCAGGCGGCCGCAGTCGGCCACGCGCAGAGGGGGGTCGGGGGACGGGGACATGATTCATTTTTAGTCAGGAGGGAAAGAAACACACAAACACAATTAATCGTCGACCCTTCAGAAACTATGGGGAAATATGGGCAGTGGGGGGGAAGACAGAAACTTAGAAAATATGAAGAAATATGAGGAATCGTTATATTTGTGTGTATTTGATTGTGTGTCCCAGGGCCCCTTCACTCGTCCGCCTCCGAGGATCCTCCTCCTCCTCTCAAGGACAAACTATCCCGGCAAAGCAACCTAACAGCGACGTGTAGGAGCATATCTGGAAGCATTCCCTTTAAGATTCAGATGAGAATCCAGTTGTAGAATTCTGCTGTTCTCGCAGTCGTAGTCGCATTCGCGATGACAGTCGCAGTGGCAACGGCAGTCACAGTCGCAGCCTCAGCCTCAGCCTGCCTCAGCCTCAGCCTCAGCCTGCCTCAGCCTCAGCCTGCCTCAGCCTCAGCCTCAGCCTGCTTCAGCCTCAGCCTCAGTCTGCCTTCAGCCTCGGCCTCAGCCTCAGCCTGCCTCAGCCTCAGCCTGCATCAGCCTCAGCCTCAGCCTCAGCCTGCCTCAGCATCAGCCTGCCTCAGCCTCAGCCTCAGCCTGCCTCAGCCTCAGCCTCAGCCTGCTTCAGCCTCAGCCTCAGTCTGCCTTCAGCCTCGGCCTCAGCCTCAGCCTGCCTCAGCCTCAGCCTGCCTCAGCCTCAGCATCAGCCTGCCTCAGCATTCAAAATGTGGCCCGGGAATGGAGTTCTGGGAACTCGAAGAACACGAAGTGGCCTACAGTTGGCTCCGGGCATTCAAAATCATGCCCAGGAATGGAGTTCTGGGAACTTGAAGAACACGAAGTGGCCTACAGTTGGCCTCCTGGCATCCAAAATGTGGCCCGGGAATGGAGTTCTGGGAACTCGAAGAGCACGAAGTGGCGCACAGTTGCCTCCTGGCATCCAAAATGTGGCCCGGGAATGGAGTTTTGGGAAGTCGAAGAACACGAAGTGGCCTACAGTTGGCTCCGGGCATCCAAAATGTGGCCCGGGAATGGAGTTCTGGGAACTCGGAGAGCACGAAGTGTGTGACTGTTGGCTCCGGTTATTCAAAATGTGGCCCGGGAATTGAGTTTTGGGAGGTCGAAGAGCACGATGTGTGTGTGACTGTTTGGTTAAAACGAGCCCGGCTCTGTTCCCGGTTATTTTCCCCGGCACCCGCCCAGACCCCCCTGTGGAGTCATCAGATGCTCTCTTTTGAATCCACTAGAAACCGATCAGCAAAAGCTGTTAGGTAAAAATCAGGCGATCGCAAACATGGATCAAGGGGGCGTGGATTAGCGACGGGCCCCGCTTCCGTGGGAAATCCGATTGCGCGCCCCCGAAATAACGTCATAATTATTCCGGCAAAGCAACCTAACAGCGATGTGTAGGAGCATATCTGGAAGCATTCCCTTTAAGATTCAGATGAGAATCCAGTTGTAGAATTCTGCTGTTCTCGCAGTCGTAGTCGCATTCGCGATGACAGTCGCAGTGGCAACGGCAGTCACAGTCGCAGCCTCAGCCTCAGCCTGCCTCAGCCTCAGCCTCAGCCTCAGCAGCCTGCCTCAGCCTCAGCCTCAGCCTGCTTCAGCCTCAGCCTCAGTCTGCCTTCAGCCTCGGCGTCAGCCTCAGGCTGCCTCAGCCTCAGCCTGCATCAGCCTCAGCCTCAGCCTCAGCCTGCCTCACCATCAGCCTGCCTCAGCCTCAGCCTCAGCCTGCCTCATCCTCAGCCTGCCTCAGCCTCAGCCTCAGCCTGCTTCAGCATTCAAAATGTTGCCCGGGAATTGAGTTTTGGGAACTCGAAGAACACGAAGTGGCCTACAGTTGCCTCCTGGCATTCAAAATCATGCCCAGGAATGGAGTTCTGGTAACTCGAAGACCACGAAGTGGCCTACAGTTGGCTCCGGGCATCCAGAATGTGGCCCGGGAATGGAGTTTTGGGAAGTCGGAGAGCACGAAGTGGCCTACAGTTGGCTCCGGGCATCCAAAATGTGGCCCGGGAGTTGAGTTCTGGGAACTCGAAGAGCACGAAGTGTATGACGGCTGGCTCCGGTTATTCAAAATGTGGCCCGGGAATGGAGTCTTGGGAGGTCGAAGAGCACGAAGTGTGTGACTGTTGGCTTAAAACGAGCCCGGCTCTGTTCCCGGTTCTTTTCCCCGGCACCCGCCCAGACCCCCCTGTGGAGTCATCAGATGCTCTCTTTTGAGTCCATTAGAAACCTATCAGCAAGAGCTGTTAGGTAAAAAGAAACGTTTGGCGCTTCGCGCAGATTTCTCGGATCCGCGCTGGACCCCCCTCCGCGCGCCAGGGGCGGCTCCGGAGGCGCCGCCAGGGGGACCCAGCGCAGATCCAAGAAACCCACACAGAGCGCCAAAAGTCAATGTTTGTGCGTTTTTTCTTCTTCTTCTCCTCCTCCATTTGTTCCTCCTCACCATCCCCCTCCCTACCCCGTCCCCCCTTTACTGCTTCCCCTGTGCCAAAAAGGGCGTGCCGCGTCCACGGCGTGCGCACAAACGGGTCGGGAGAGGGGAGACAGTCTTCTTAGAAACGCCCTCTGCTTCTTAGGAGGCGCAAGCTTAATCTATAGATGTAAGGCCCGCGCCTTCAGACATCCTTCGGAGACGGAAACGTTCCGTGCGGATTTTTTGGATCCGCGTTGGGTCCAACCGGCGGCGCCTCCGGCGCCGCTCCTGTCGCGCGCCAGGGAGTGGGGTTCAGCGCAGATCCAAGAAATCTTCGCGAAACGCCGGAAGTTTGTGCTGATGTTTCTTCTTCTACAGAAGCAGCCTGCTTCTAAGAGGACCTCCCCCTCCCCCTCCCTTGAGCGCGCCGCCAGCAGCTGGTTCCCGTCAGCTGGTGCTCCGCGCGTTGGCCCTGCCGGTTCGCCGCGCGGGCCCTCAGAGAAGGCGCTGGTGCCGTGGCGGGCGTTCGCCTCGGGGCGACGAGGAGATCCCAGCATTCCGACGCAGCGTTTTTGTTTGCAGCGGGTAGGGGGCCACATGCGAACCCTACCCCTACCCCCCACGATTTCTGAGAGGGGAGGGTG